GCAATGTACTGAAAGAACGGTTCCTCCTTTTTCAACTAGCACTCTGTGGGTGCCTGTGCCCTGCACCCCTTGGTCTGTGACCTGCACCAGGAAGAGGCACTAAGACAAACCGATTGGAAGTAAGAAATATAAAAATGTTCCATGGCATGGGCTAGTCCATTGGACAAATATTTCTTGAGCACTTAGTATTTGATTTCACCCATCATTTCACACTCAGTTCTGACAATAATCCTGTAAAGTACAATTAGTACTATTCTAACAATATTACATATAAGGCTCTGTAAAGTTAAATGGCCTATCTAACGTCATTGGCTACTAAGTAGTGAATGGAGCCTTTTAAACATTCCTACACCGTCAGATGGTCTGGAATCAAGCCCCAGCTCTACCTCTTTCTGGCTGTTGGGCTTTGGCGAATCACTTAACCTGTCAGCTTTCCATATCTTTGTCTAGAAAATGGTGAATAGGAGTATCTCACCAAACTGCTGTGAGAATTAAATGCTATAACATATACAGAGTCCAGCACAAGTAACACCCTCTTTTTATTACAAAACTGTAAGCATGTAATCCTGTAACATAATAATATCACACTCAAGCACATCATATGACATTTTAGGTGAAATGTTCAAATTTAAACTATAAATTACACCCATATTATTACAACCACATTTAAGCAGGCCTTACTTCTGCCAGACCCTGAATAAAAATGCTTTAAAAGTTATTGAAGTATTTTTTGCACATTACTATTTCATGCCATGCACTGTGTAATGTTAAATAAAATGTTTTATAACAAACTGATTATTTTTAGCCATAGTTTTCCAGCAACTGAACTGTTCTCTGGCTGTATGTTGGAAATTTTAGGACACTTTTATAGTCTACTGAAATTTAGGTGGCGTCAGAGAAATCTAACATGCTTAAGTTTAAAGTAAGTTAAGTACTGGCAAAGTCTAACTAATTTAAAATTTTCATTTTGACCATGCAGTACATTAAAATGGTCAAATTCAAAGATACCAAAGGGTGGTCAGTGGAGGGCCTCCTTATCTTGTATTCTGGCTTCTCAGATCCCCTCTCCAGAGCCAGCCAATGTTTTATCAGGTTTGTGTGTGTTCTCCCACAGATATACAGGTATATCTATTCTCTCCTGCAAATTTCCAAGTAAGTGGTAGCATCCTACACAGTTTTCTACCCTGCTTTTCTCCACTTAACAGCATGTCAGTAAATAAAGACTTGATTGGGTTTTTTTTTTCCCCACAACTGCATAACATTCCATGGTGCAGATTAAATTTCATTTAATCCATCTCTTATTAAAGGACATTTAGGCTATTTTCAAAGTTTCAATGAGTAATCTTCTGTAGTATTTTGTAGGTATGCCAGTATATTTACAATAAAATCCTACTAGAGCTGCTGGGTCAGAGATGGGTATTTGTAATTATAGGTATTACTGCATTGCCCTTCACAGAGTCTGAACCAACTCACATTCCCACTGGAACTACCAAAGAACACTGTCAAGACAGTGAAAACACAACACACAGAAAGGGCAAACATATTCACAAATCATGAACCGGACAAGGAACTTTCATTTGGGTATACAAAGAATTCTTAAAATTAATAATAAAAAGACAAATAACCCAACTGAAAAAATGAGCAAAGGGTCTAAATAGACATTTCTCCAAGGAAACTATACAATGGCCAATAGGCACATGAAGAGATGCTTGACATCATTAACTAGTAGGGAAATGCAAACAAATCACAATGAAATAACACTCCCCACCCACTAGGATGGTGATAATCAAAAAATCAGATAGACAACGTCCTGGCTGGTGTGGCTCAGTGGATTGAGCACAGCTGCGAACCAAAGGGTCACCAGTTTGATTCCCAGTCAGGGCACATGCCTGGGTTGTGGGCCAGGTCCCCACTGGGGGCCACATGAGAGGCAACACACATTCATGTTTCTCTCCCTCTCTTTCTCCTTCCCTTCCTCTCTCTGTAAAAATAAATAAAATCTTTTTTAAAAAAGTCAGATAAACACCTTCTGGCAAGGATATAGGGGAACCGAAGCCTTCATACACTGTTAAGGGAATGTAACTTTGGAAAAGAGACTGGCAGTTCCACAAATAATTAGACATGGAGTTACTATATGACCCCACAATTCCACTCCTAGGCATCTACTCAAGAGAAATGAAAGCAAAAGTCCATTAAAAATCTGTACACAAGTGATTATAGCACCTTAGTCACATTAGCAAAAAAGTGGAAACAACCCGGAAGTCTATCAGTTGATGAATGGTGGTATATGAGGTCTCTCTGGAAAAAGTCCAGTCATTGTTAACATAACAAGAATGGCTTGTGTGACATCGATGTAACCTGGCAGCCAAGGAGAGTGGACTGGAATGTGCATGTGTGAACAACGACGTCTTCACTGTACTAGTCAGTGGGGGAAGCAGGCGCTGTTTAGTGAGCATGTGTACTGTGTGGCTGTCACATTCAAAATGACCAAGTAAACAGAGCAACTACTCTGCATTGAATTTTGTGTTAAGTTTGAACATTCCTCCATGGAAACCATTCAGATGATTCAGAAGTCCGCAGCTATGGGCAACTAGTGATTGGCAGCTTCATCACAGTGCACCTGCTCATGCATCACATCTTGTTCAAAGTTTTTTGGCAAAACATCAAATCACCCAGGTGACTCAGCCTCCCTACAGCCCTGATTTTGCACCCTGTAACTTCTGGCTTTTCCCAAAACTAAAATCACTTTTGAAAGGGAAGAAATTTTTCAGACTATTGATGAGATTCAGAAAAATACAATGGGCCAGCTGATGGTGACTAGAAGAACTGTGTGAGGTCCCAAGATGCCTACTTTGAAGGGGACTGAAGCACCACTATCCTATGTACAATGTTTCTCGTATACTGTACCTTCTTTAATAAATGTCTCGATTTTTTCATATTACATGGCTGGATACCTTCTGGACAGACCTCATATAGCCATACAATGGAATATTATTCAGCCATAAAAAGGATTTAGTACATGCTACAACATGGATGAACCTTGAAACATTGAGCTAAGTGAAAGGAAGCCAATCACAAAAGATTAACATAATATATGATTTCATTTTCATGATGTGACCAGAACAAGCAAATCTATAGAGACAGTAAACAGTTTAGTGGTTACCTAGGTCTAGGGAAGAAGGAATAAGGAAGTGATGGCAAAAGGGTACAGAGTTTCTTTTTAAGGTGATGAAAATGTTGTAAAATTGACTGTGGTGATTGCTGCATATATCTGTGAATATAGTAAAAAACATTTAATTGTATACTCTATTATATTTGCATTACATCTCAATACTGTTTGAAAAGCTTATCTCCCAGTTACCTCATTTCCCCTTCTGTGTCTGAACACCCTGCACACCTGGCCTTACCTTTCTGTCAGGTCCCCAACAACCTCCCTTTACCACTTTATAATGACTTACAAGCGACAAAACTTCCTATACCTACTCCCAAAAGCAAATTTCGGGTTTTTCCCCAGGAAAAGTACATTTATTATATTCATGTATTTCTTAACTTGTTTAGCAAGTATAAAACCGTCCTACCATTTGTATTAAGTCCCCGTCTTTCTTTACGTGTTTTTGATTGTCCAAGTTCGCACAGTGCAGGGATTGTTAGGACTGCACGTGCCATACTACCCCAAGACTAACTGTAGAATCAGAGGTCTCCCCCAAACACACTATTATCAGAAACAGAATTCAAAGCCGGATAAATCACCCATCAAACCAATAAGGTTTCTACCAGTTTTCACTGTATAAAAATTTTAAACTAAAATGCTGAAAGAAATTAGTGCCATTTGGGATACTGTCATAATAATGTGGGAAAATGTTTTCAATAATTACACTTTTATTTTCTAGAGACTTCATGAACTCTAGAAGATGGTTCTGAAAGGAAACAAACAATATTCATTCCAAAAAGAAAAGAGTCAATTATTTACGGAGCCTTGCTACCCATCAGGCACCCTCTGCTCTGGTTGGGCCGTTCCCTTCCAAGTCACACAAAGACACCATGTTCAGTTTCTGTGGTGTCACTTGGTCCTTTCACATGAGGTTTCGTCCCTTCCCCCTCAGTCTCACCGAGTCGCCCACTCCCGATCCTAACCCTTCACAGGCCATCCCACCCCCAGCTCACTCCTCAGTGGCCTCCTACCCCCGAGTTCCCACAACACTTACTGTCTGACTGACACAATTTTAGCCTCACACCATTTGCCCATCTCGTTCTTGTCCCTTGCACATGCAGGCTCCGCAGGGAGAGAACCATGGCCAGCACCTCGGAGCCCGCACGCACACAGAAGGGGAGGTAGGGGTTTTCATGGCTAGGGGATAAATGGGACAAAATGACGGGCACCAAGTACCTTTCCAGTTTCACTAGTTACAACTCAACCATTTTTGATAGAAATCATCTCAATGCCTTCCAAGAAGCTAAAATTTTAATGTACCTATGTTGAAAATATATGTGGCCGCTCAGGAAATAAAATCCTGTAAAACCTGCACTCAGATGTCATTACCACAGTAAAGGCTAAACAAGAAATGGCAGTGATTATACACTAAACATTTTTAGGTTGTGGACCCCAATTCTACCTTATAAGATGTACGGAAGCAAGTTTATCTGCAGCAACTTTATCACAGTGACAAAATATTCCTGAGGAGTGGTTTTCAAAGCTTTCCTTTGGTAGCAGAGACCGATTTCCAAACAAAAGGTTTAGTGGAATTCTACCCTACAAAAGAATGCATAGCTAATCTTGCTGAAGCGGAGAGAGGGACCCGTGGTTCTGCCTGTTCAGATCCCCCTCAAGTGCGCCCCACCCCTCCTCTCTCCCCAGGCCCCAAGTGCAGTGGGCATCCCTGAAAACCACACAGTGCTGAGAAACGCTTATGGAACAATCAACTAGCTGCCATGAATAGAAAAATACATTCTTCTTTTTAAAAAAACCTAAAACATCACTAAAGTACGAAATTAAAACTTACCCATTTCTACTGAAAACTCTTAGCCATGCTTTGATGTTTGGTCCTAACAAACACAAACAAGGTACAGTAGTAAAAGTAGACAAAATAACTGCAAATAAAAATGTTTCCAACACCAACCTATAAAAAGAAAACTTCATTAGTTTTTAAAAAAGTGTGAAAGGAACAAACATATATATATATATATAATCTGTGGCTTAAATTAACTTAATATAAAAATACTTTCTTATATTTTACTTTGAAAGGCAACATGAGTCCTACCAAAACAATGACTATAAAAACCATCTAGCAAATATCTGGCTTTAACGATAAGAGGTCCAAAATGTTAAATACCTTATGATCCCTTTTGTCCAAGGCAAGAAACCCCATTTCTAGATCATTAACTTTCTTCCTCAATAGTCTCTGGAACTTTCTCTGTGACCAGCAGTTCAACTTTAGCTTATATCAAAATTAACCTTCTTCCTAAGTAGTCTTTGGAACTTTAGCTTCAACAGCCACTTAGAAAGCTGGATAAACTAAAGATGGGGGACCCCACCTCTAGGCTGGCCTGAGAATCTGCATTTCAATTAAATGCTGATGCTGGTTTTAGGACCACTTTGAGAACCATTGCTCTAGACATTCATTCTACTCTAAAATGGATGAGACAGAAACATCTGTTTACCATCACAAAGGTCTTATCCTCCCTTCTCTAAAGAATGACCTGTTAATGTATATGTATAAAAAACTACATATAAATATATAACTATATACATAGCTTGTGTGTGTTTATACATAAACCACCCATTTCACCATGACCATTAATCATTGCTAAAGTACAATTTCCCAAACTACAGTAAATGTTATACAAAAAGTATTCATGAGTTTAATATTCACGAACTTAAAATTGGTCAGTTTTGAAAAAGTGTTGAGGTAAATTTTCCTTCAAACTATAAACATTAGCTAATTAAGTAAAGACAGGAATATATTGACCTTTCTTAAGAAAATAAACTCTTCAGAATCACATTTACTAAGAACTGATATATGTTAATAGTAGCTAACTTATCCATATCACCATAGTAAGTTCCCTTTGATATTCTAAGGGTCACACATTTATTGATGTAGTATAGCTTCTCATCTATACCTCCCATCCCCCTCCCCAACCTGCGACTGTGTACTAGAAGGCTAGATAATAGGGGCCTTCACTGAATTAACTTATTCCTGTTTCTAAAAAAATAGCACTGTGAGGAAGGGCAATGTCAGTACCCTTCCATGATCTAACAATCAAACACACCAGTCTTTCTCTAACCATCAACACAATTAGTCCTTTGTTTAGTAAACGAGTGTTTTAAAATCTAGGGGCCATAAGGTTGAAATTTCGGACTTACTCTATTAATGGTGCTCCATACAGAACAAAAATCACATGAAAGAAGAAACAAGACATAAGAAAGTAGATACAGCATTTCAAAAATCTGGTTACCTGAAAAAGAAATGAATAAAGACTCAAGAGAATGTCTAAAGGACATTAAATGTTTCCATTTTAGGTACAAACATAACATTCTCATGTGTGAAGAGTTAAATGTTCTCTGGATTTAGAGATGCTGAATTTGGATCATGTCTTGTGCAATCCGGTGAACAGCCCTGTAAAAAAGGCTAAAGGCTAGTATCACCCCGCCCCCCCCACCTCATTCTACCCACCCAACCAGCACTACAGTCAAAAAGCATTTCTGTTCCTCTGGTATGTATTGAGCTATGTTGTTAATCAGTATTTATGAATTGTTGACCAAATAACAAGCTGCTAGAATACAAGAAAACACAAACGATCATTATGTGATGATACATGAAATATTTGCTATATTATTTACTGAAGGCACCCTAATTACACAACCAATGCATGGCAAGGATTTATCAAATGTTGTGGGCAGGCTTCCAGCAAGTGACAGGCTACTAATTTGAAAAAAAAAAATCAGGTTCGCTTTATTCACCAGAAATAATCCAACTTAGTTCTTGACTAATGCTTTATTTTTCCATTAAAAGAAACACTCCCTCTATCCAAAAAACAGTTATCAAGAAATAAGCCTTACCTTGTGTGATGAACTTCTTTTAGTGGATGTATTTGGTTTCACCACTAAATATAATACTAGATTGACAGCAGTTACAAAAACAGAACAGATGCACAACCATGTCAAGTGTGTTTCCAATACTGAGAAGTTCTCCAAGAAGAATGGCGGAATGAAGATGCTTAGGATAATTGAGAATATGCACAAAAGATGGGTATACAGTAGTCTCTTGATATCAGTATTTTTCATGGTGTATTCTTGAGTGGCTGTCTAATGAAAAACAAATTAAGAAAAGCATATGCAATAATGACTTTTTCCATTGTTCTAAATGTTCCAACACTTAAAAATAAGTTAGGACCCAAAGCCAATTTTCTATGTGTTGGTTTCAGAATATAGGAAGCTGCACAATGTAAACGCACATATGGACTACTATGGTAAACAGCTCTCAAACTAAAAAAGATGAACTTCTTAATTCTAATTCCTTAAACATTTGTGACTGGTTTCTGAAAAATGGTCATGTGCTAGAACCAAGTAAGCGATTCCTTTTCCTTTTTTTTTTCTTTGCCAAAATCTGAGGTGAAAACAAACTACAGGGATTAACGATCTGCCCCTGTTGGAAATATACCTATGCTTTCTAGAAACTCCATGAATACAGTTTGGCTAAATGGTTGGCGTTTTTTTACCACTGTGGATGCTGGTAACTAATGACACAGTAGTTCACATCTTCTTAGCAAATGCCAGGTGACACCACCAGTGGCCAGTGTAATCAAGAAAGTTCGAACAACATTATGCTAAAAAAAAGGGATTCTAGTGCTGCAGAAATACCAAAATGACAATGTTTGTTACAGGTGCTAGATTACAATCAAAAGTAAAGCATAAGTGCTTTAGGCTTTTATGGAGGAAAAAATTTATCTATAAAACACACACATAAGTCTTTAAAAATTACCTAGCAGATAGAATATATATATAAACCACTGTTAACTAAGGATCTTATTAATTTAAAGTAATAGTCCACATGTAACGGTGGTTATTCCAGAATACACACACACACACACACACACACACATATATTACACACACATACATACCCAGGGGGTGCCCAGTAGTACAAAGGGTCAAGCTCATGCCCTATCCTAACAGCTCTCATTTAATTCACACTATAATATTCAAAGGCAAATATTTTACTGATAAGGAAACAGGCTAAAAGAGGTTAGGGAACACGTCCAAGGTTCCAAGCTTCCAAGTGCTAAAGCTATTTCAAATAAAAACACACACTAGGGGGTCAAGAAGAGTATGAAGGGCAAGAAGGGAGACATGAAGTTTCTAGTCTCAGTTTAGGGGCAGGGAAGCAGATCGGCAATACACTCACTGAATAGACACCCCTTCGCATTTTTTTCTGGACCTCTCTCAGAACCTCAACTGACATGAGCAACCTGGGATGTAATACAGTGAGCAGTACCCATACTCAAATGCTTACTGAATCAATGAATGAGCAAACGAATGAAGGAACGAATGAATGCACAAGGGAACAAAGGAGAGTGGGTTAAGTGTTTGCCCCTCTTGAGATACCAGCCCTGTGTTAGGCCCCCGACGAGCAACCTTAAGACACCCTTAAGGCGTCCGCTAGGGGTGCTGTGACCCTGGCGTCTGAGGTCTGACCTGGAGGGGGGCTCGCAGACGTTATGAGGTGAAAGAAGGCCCGTCTAAGCGGCTCCTGGAGACTTCTCGGGAATCGTTGGGCCGTTGTCTGCAGCCGCACCCTAAACTGGGTCAGTCCGGGACTGTGCCCAAGTCTCAGCCGGCCTGAAGGTGGGCAGCGGGGAACGAGCTGAGAGTCACACGCAAAAAAAGCACAGGCGTGGAGACCAGGAAAAAGGGAGACAGACACAGAAAGTCCGAGGGACAGCCCACCAGGGCACTCCCCTGGGTCACGCCGCAAGAACGGCGCGGGCGGTCCGGGGGCACAGAGGCTCGCAGCCATCTGGGTAGTTGGCGGGGTTTGCTAGCCTCCCCACGAGGCCCGCGTGCCAGAGCGTTCGGCTGGGCTTACCTAATACTCCCGCCCGCAGAAGGGATGGGGAGGCGACTGCCTCCCACCACCAGGTGCAACTCACCTCCCCCCCCACCCTCGCGCACGCGCAGGCTTGTGGGCGGAGACCCAAGGCCGCACAGCCAATCGCAGAATCGCAGAAATGGAAGGGCGGGCAAAAGAAGCAGCCCCGCCTTTCTGCTCTGGTTCTTTCCTCCCTTAGCTTTCCAGGTGTAGGATGGGCGGGGCGGAGTGAGAAACCGGAAGTGGATTTTTGTAACCCGGAAGGGGAATCTTTCCCTGGTTGTATTCTGTTTTCAAGTGGCTTCAGCTACTGCTGCTACGGGAATCGTCGCTGAAGGATGGTGTGCGAAAAATGTGAGTTAAAGGGCCGCTTCTGTGGGAGGAGAGTAGGAGAACCTAACTGGAGTTCCCTGGAAACTTTGCCCCCACCCCCTTTTAAGTTTCGGCCGCGGATCTCTCGTCGTAGCCTCTGTCCTCCTACCTTGTCCTTGGACCATTCCTGCCCCTCCCCAAAACATATCGCTGTATGTTTTGTATTCTAGGTGGTCTCAGGTTTTTCGCATCTTTGTCTATTTGCGTTGCTTCCCCCGACCCCGAATCTCAACCCATACAACTTCTTGACCGGCTTCCTCAACCCACAGACCCTTAAGTTTGGAATAGAGCTTAAAAGTCACTTCTAACGTTGCCAGATTTAAGCAAATAAAAATACCGACACCCAGTTAAATTTGAATTTCAGGTAAACAAGGAGTAATTTTTTGTATAAGTATACCCCATGCAGCATTTGTGACTTGGTTCAGTTTGCTGCTCCTTACTACTGTAAGGAGTGCTTTGTCCCGGAGCACGCACTTTTAGGACATTCCGGAAAAAAAAATTCTGAAATTTAAGGTTTACTGGGCATCCTGACAACCCGAAATTAGTGTCCCTCCCAGTGGTTTCAGCGCCTTTTTTATGAATGCCTACCAGAAGAGTCTCTCCCTCTTGTACGTCCAGCGATTCTTTTATTTTTTTAAGATTTTATTTATTTATTTATTTTTAGAGAGATAGGGAGGGAGGGAAAAGAGGGGGAGAAACAGGTTGCCTCTCTCACGCCCCCAACTGGGGACCTGGCTACACCACTGAGCCACACCAGCCAGGGTGCTGTCTGGTGATTCTAATGCCAATATAGGAGATATCTTATGGTTTTTTGACCTCAGAAACTGGCTATATATTTTAAAATACCTGTCGTATGCCCATGCCTCTTTTTCAGCAGGCTAGACCTATCTGGCTCTTCCGTGACAAGGTTCAAGTCCTCTTATCTTGATTACGGTCTAGTTAACTTAATCCATTTTGTTTATGTACCTCCCAATAGATAAAACTTTGAACACAGATACCCGTAAGTTTGAATCACAGATCTTATATTAGGCAAAAGAATGGTCATGGGCAAGTCACTTAAATAAATTCTCAGTGTGCAGGAAACACTTTTGGGTTTCTATATTTGGAGCCTTTCATTTAGAATCACACTCCATAATAAGACCTCAGCTTATCTTTCCAACTTAATTTTCACTAACCATTGTCCTATTTACAATTTGGCCAAACAAAACTATCTTGCATGTCCATGTGCACCCTGAGCTTTCCATGCCTTTCCTCGGGATGTATCCTTTTTTCAGTTTGTCTTCATCCCCTTTCCTCCTTATTCTTCACAGTCCCATTGCTGCCTATCTTCTCTATTGCCTTTTCCACAGAGCTTTCCTGGGTTGTTCCTTTCTTTGTGGAATTTCTCCTAGTATGTTAGCTCTCAATTTATTTTAGCTCTCAATTTTTATTTTCTAGTTTACATTTTGTTTTAAGATTTTATTTTTACACAGAGGGGAAGGGAGAGAGAAAGATAGAGAGAGGGAGAAACATGAATGTGTGGTTGCCTCCCATGCATCCCCCACTGGGGACCTGGCCTGCAACCTAGATTGCCCTAGATTGGGGATTGAACTGGCAACAGTCTGATTCATAGTCCAGCGCTCAAACCACTGAGCCACACCTGCCAGCGCTCTAGCTTATATTTTAGTGGAATAGTTCTTAACTTTCTTTTTTTTGGTTCTGTAAATCCTTTGAAAATCTGATGAAAGCTGTAGACTCTTACCAGTCTATTAAAAAAAAGGAATATGCAAAAGGTTCGTGTACAATTTCATGTAGTTCACGTGTTTCCAAAGATCCACCTACGAAACCCAAGTTAAGGACCACTGCTAGAGAAATCAGAAAGCTCCTTGTAATTTAGAACTTCATCTAACGGATTGAGTTTTTTTTTTCTCTGTATTTTGTACAGTGGTTTATACGTGGTATAAATGGTGTATAGATACTCAGTAAGTATTTATGGAATGAATAGATTTACCAGATTTGTTTACCCAATTTGTTAAAAGTATACAGAGGAAGTCTATTATAAGTCTATTACACTACAAACTTTGCTGAGTCAGTTATCCATTTCCTACAGTTAATATCTTAAGTCTCAGTTCGCTGGCCCCAACCTGAGCATTAACAGGCTCTTACCGTAATATGACTGTTGATACCAATGTGAACTTTAGGCACAATATAGGACATTTATTAGATAGTAAATACTAATTCCTGTTACTTTTACTATCTTGTTATAACAGGTGAAAAGAAACTTGGTACTGTTATCACTCCTGATACATGGAAAGATGGTGCAAGGAATACCACAGGTATTTTTCCTTTTAGAACACAGAAGTTGGAACAGACACTTCCTGTGAATAATGTTTAGTGTTTAGATTATTTGTAAAATGAAATGTTATGTATACAAAATATTTCATCTATTAAACGTTAAATTACATTGGATCCCCCAACAATTCAGTATCTTACTGAGTGCTCTTAGTTACTTGTTGGGGTTCCTAGTTTGGTAGGCAGGAGATAGTAAAATAATTAAGTGATTTTCAAGCAGTCAGTATATCCTAGTAATTGATTTGATTCAGCTTAATTGCACTTGGTATCTAATCTCCCTCTCCTCACCTGATTTTTATATTTTTAAATCATTTAAATGTTTCACCTCCTTAATTGTTTTTCTGTAGGGTAATTTATGACAGACTAGCCAGTATCCTCTTCTTATTCATTAAATACAGTGCAAACGTCAAAGGGAAAGAAAAGGAACACTTTCATTGTATTCAAGGTCTGCGGCACCAGCGTTCTGGTTTCTAGATTTTACGGTGGATAAGTTAGGTGTAGACCCATTTCTAAAGTCCTGCTTTGGGTCTGAGCAATAAAATGATTGTTTTGTCTAATTTTTATTGTTTTTCTAATAAATAATTGTTTTCTTATTAAGCAGTGTCCTGAGAACCTGATTGCTAAATGAGGATTTTTGAAAATTTTGACATAGGCTAGTATATTTGTAGGAGGTCAAAAAATGAACTTTTAAAGTAATTGTTTAGTGTGAAATGTGTAGAAATAACTAACAAATACATGCTCATTTTAATATAGAAAGTGGCGGAAGAAAGCTGAATGAAAATAAAGCTTTGACCTCAAAAAAAGCCAGGTAGGTACAGGAGCATCTACAGAGCAGTAATACGTTAAAATCACCACTCCTTCTAACATTATGCACACTGACGTGAGTTTGGTGTGCACCATTCTATTGTGATGATATAGTTAGGTAGTTCCTGGTGTGCAAAAACAAGCTACCAGTTATAACCTGCTGGTTTCACCTCGTTCTTCCTCACTGTATCAGCATATGAAGATATTAGTGTTACTTTCTCTTTATAATTTCACTAGAAAAATATGACTTACTTTTTCTAGTGGTCTTTCTTTTTTTAAACACCAGAGGGCATTTTTCTATTGCTTTTAGAGAGAAAGGAAGGGAGAGAGAGAAACATCAGTGTGAGAGAGAAGCATTATTGGCTGCCTCTGGTATGGATCTCTACCAGGGATTGTACTTATTTGGTCCAGGGATTAAACCCACAACCTAGGCATGTGCCCTGACTGGGAATCAAACCTGAAACCCTTTGGTTATGCAATGATGCTCCAACCGAGCCACACCGGCCAGGGCCAGGGCTTTCTAGTTCTTAATTATCCTTCAACTCAGAGGTAACAGAAAATAAGAAAACAGCGTAAGTTCTGGAGTCAGATTTTAATTCGAATCTAGACTGTCTAAAGTTGAAGGTGACTATCTGCCTCTGTGACCTTACACAAGTTAAGCTAAGAACTTTACTTTTTCATCTGAGAGTAGGAATAAAAATATCTCCTTCCTTAAAAACAACTACTAACACCGTTTCATTATAGACAGTCTTAAAAGTCCCATGACCCCTTGCAGGTGCTGCCCCATTTTCTTGTTTCCCTTCGCAGCAGCAGTTTTCAAAACCTACCTAGGTGCTTTCTTGGCGTCCTTCAGTTCCATTCTCTCCATTGGCCGTTGCAGTCATGCCTTTGTCCTACCCACAGCCCTGACACTGCTCTTGTCAGGACCACACGTGACCTGTAAAACTGCTGTCTCCTTTATTTTTACCTTACTGAACCTTTTAGCAACGCTTTATTTTTGGAACCCTTTATTCTTTTGGCTCTGGGACACCACATTCTTCTTTCTGCCCAACTCACTGGCTGTTCCTTCTCAATCCAGTGCTTCTGGACTCAGTCCCAGACTTTGGGTTTTTTCTATTTATAAATTTATAATTTCTCCTCAATTGACTTTGGTCCAATGGCTTTAAGTTCAAACTATCTGTTAATTACTCCTAAATGTGTGTCTCTAGTCCTGACTTCTGAGCTCCAAACATACATTGAACTGTCTACTTGACTTACCCAGTTGGCTGTCTTAACAGGTAACCTCTTTTCTTTCAGTCTTCTAATCATAGTCTTCTCATCATGGCTCCGCTGTCCAGTCCAGCTGTGCAGGTGTAAAAGCTGGCATTCCTCACTGGTTCCCTCCTTTCCCTCTCTTCCACACTCATCAGCAAGCCCTTTGGTCCTGCTACCAAAGTGTAACCTGAATCCACCTGCTCTTCTCCATGTCATTGCTATTACCACGTTCCAAACCACTATTATTTCTAACTCAGGCACCTTAGTAACTTTCTATCTCCCTGCTTCCTCTCTTTTTTCGTATAGTTAAGTTTGAATGACACATAACCTCTTTGCTCAAAACCTCCATTAGTTTTCTTTATACACTGAATAAATTCTAAGCACCCTACTGTGTTGTTATAAGGTCCTTTGAGATCCGGCCCTTCACCTCTCTGACTTGCTACTATGGCAACCCCTGCACCAGAGGCCAAGCCGGTCTGGAGGAAGTGTGTGCTTACTGCCTCCTCTTCTAGAGCTCAGCCCTCAGAGTGGGTCTCAGAGATGGCCTGTACCCAGCTTCTAAACTAATGCCTTCCCTCATTCGCCTCATGTCTGCTTTGGTGTCCTGTTTGAATTTCCTCTACATGTCCTGACTCTCTGAGAAGTGTGTTTGTCTCATTGCTTACCGTCCAGCTCCTCGAGAGAGAACATCAGCTCGATGAGGGCAGAGGCTCTGTCTGTCAGGTTTATCTTCGGGATGTAAAACAGCACATAGTGCACATAGTGTAGGAGGCACTCAGGAAATATTTGCTGAGTAAACAAATACCTGTGTGATGACATCAATCCAAGGATTAGAAATAATAGTAAAAATAGAGCTTTTACTATTTCCAGTACCTGGCACATAAGTAGCACAATAGACTTAATCTTTTCAGTGATGAGTAGTGTCACATTATGCATTGTTGACTAACTGATATCTTACAAGACCATTCAGTTATTATTGACTGAGTTGTTATTTTTACAGATTGTAGAATTTAGATACTTATAGTTCCTTTATGCTCCCAAATTTCATATCATTAAAAAATAGTTGTTACTTTTGAATTCACTAAATACTTCACTTTGGAAAGCATACTGCTGTATTGTATTGAATCTAAGATACCATCATTTATGAGATGCATCATTACTTTAAGAAAGAAAAAGCTCTGCCAATTAATCCCTGTAAGGTTGCAGAGATACTAAAATGTACATCTTAGAATGATAAAATACGGTTTTAGGAAAAAGCAGTCTCCAGCATGCAGGCTGAAACAGTGGCGTGTGTTGAGAAGAATAGTGCCTCTTCTCAGATTGCAGGGCGTAAAGTGACGCTCTGTGGGGTCTGGAAGAATTAACCTTCGGGAATGAGCTATTGTACTGTGTACCCGAAGAGAAGAAAGCGTCGGTCTTCAGTATATGAGTGTTGTTAGAAACAGTGATTGCCATTTAAGGGAAAGTATTTCCTCTAAAGTTACTTTGCACTTCAGTCACTATAAGGTGGCATTTTTATATTGTAGGATGCTTTTTATCTGAGAAATTAGACGAATTAATTAAAGATACCAGTAAAAGTAGGCAGTCTTAAAAAAAACACATACTTTGTTTTATTTTAAATTAAAACACATAACTCTATATACATTCACTGGCCATTTGATATCGGAAAAAACCTTTTGAGTATGAATTCTTCATGATTTTCCTCATAGAATTCATAACAAGAGTATATATATCCAGTGTCTTTAAAACGAAGCAAGAGCCAACAGTTGCACCCTGGCTGATGTAGCTCAGTGGATTGAGCACGGGCCTGCAAACCAAAGGGTTGCCGGTTTGATTCCCAGTCAGGGCACATGCCTGTGTTGTGGGCCAGGTCCCCAGTGGGGTTGAACGAGAGGCAACCACACATTGATGTTTCTCTCCCTCTCTTTATCTCTCTTTCTCTTCCCCTCTCTAAAAATAAATAAATAAATAAATAAAACCTTTAAAAAAAGGACTGACAGTTGCAAAGTGCCAAATCCTCCCACTTTAGACTTTTCCTCCATTTTTAACAGTTGTTTTACCCATACCTAAATCAGTAGCAGTTTTAATGATTCACACTTAACTAGTGACCCTCAAGCAGTTTTTTTAATAGACTCAGCCACTCTTTTTGTACCCATATTTCACCAGTTTCCATAATATTGTATCAGACGGATTGACAAATACCTGGCTCTAAACAGGGTTGGGATTAGGCACACCTGGCTCTTCATAAGCTTGCAGCTGGCAGGGGCTTTGCACTGTGGCCGTCAGGAGCGCGCCGTGTCGGGCAGCTGTGGAGCGTGGCGGGGGAGGGAGAGCACGGGTCAGTCCCGTTTGTTGCTCAGTTGAGGTTGTCTGAGTCTAAGAGTGTTTCTATGGTGTTTACATTTTTCTTTCTTTTAAAAATCTAGATTCGATCCATATGGAAAGAATAAGTTCTCCACTTGCAGAATCTGTAAAAGTTCTGTGCACCAGCCAGGTTCTAATTACTGCCAGGGCTGTGCCTACAAAAAGGGTAAGTTTAATACCATTTTTCTATTCATATCAACTCTATTTTATTTGGTACTGATTTGGATAATACAGAAAAGGAATAGCCTTTATAAATTATATTACAATCAAATTCTGTTTTTTTTCTAAGGCAAAATAGAACTTATTCATCGTTAAAACTGTATATTTACTTTTTCTGGTACTGTAAAATTATGTTTTTACCTTCAGGATTGACTTAAATTAGCCAGGCTGCTGATACTAGGTGTTCATTGGTGTTAGACATTAGCTGGTGTTGCGATCTGACGCTTGCACGTGCTCTTTTGTTCTAGGCATCTGCGCCATGTGTGGGAAAAAGGTTTTGGACACGAAAAACTACAAGCAAACGTCTGTCTAGATGTATTGATGAAGTTTCTGGCTATCGGATTTCATTTTCTGCTTTAAATTTTCAAGGCATATCATAGATGTTCAAGTTACAGAATCACACGTTTTAAGACAATTAAGTTAAAACCAGGGAATTTGATTAGTATTCATTTTTTTGCTCTCAAGTTCTGAGTAGCAGCAGTTTAATTAGTCTGCCTTGTGTGCATTTGATTAAAGCAGAATAAGTGGCAAATTTAACAACAAAAAATATTGGCCCAGTTCTCTATGCACTTTTTATTTAACATTATTCATGTATTCTTACTGTCTTTTCCCTCTACTTATATCGTTTGCTCAGAACTTGGCATCCAGACTTACACTCTTTGGTCACGTATTCCCTTGTTGGTTGCCTAGTTCTTAGAATCAGCAGTACCTTAATTAATTGCAGCTTCACAGGGTATTTAAGTATCTGAGACCATTATGGCTGAATGGTTCCTTAGCCCAGACCTAAATCAAAAGTTGTATATATGATTTTTAGAAATTTGTTCTTGAACTGATAGTGCTAATAATACCTTTCATATGAGAATAAGAACACAAGGGATACCACATACATATCCAAGTGAATACACTGGATTTCAGGAAAACACATGACCTTGAATTCACACTATTATGAAAACCAAGAGAACAGTGTTTGTTATGATGATATACAATGGAAATGAATTACCACTCTTTGGGAAAGCTCTTAGAAGCAAAAATGAAGCTTCTTTAATTCTCTCTCCCCACCCCCAACCAAAAAATTAGAACAAAGCAAACACTTTGATTCTTAAAATATATGTATATATCCTCAAAGAAAGATTTTTGTTTTACTGCCATCGGAGGTTCGGGACTTCTGCTTTGGAAACCTGTAGCCTACTAAGGGAGACCAAGAAAGTGTTCCCTAATGTCAAGTTCAGTCTGTATAAATACCATCATCAGATGTGTAGAGTAGATGACATGATGTACATAATAACAGATACTGCATTTTTTATTTTAAAATTATGGAAAATAAAGTTTTAACTGATTATAAGTTTTTAAAAATAGCGTTTCTGGGATACATTGTTATTAATATCCAGAAAGATCTCTAGGATAATGTCAAATATAATAAATAATAGCTGCAAAGACAGGAAATATCTCCTCATGCTTTAAACAATTTAGGACTATTAGTTAAAATCAACAAAAGGGACTCATCATAGGACCCAGTTAGAGGGTGGGCCAGGTACGTTAACAGTTGGGTGGCCAGCTTCGGGAAAGGTGTGTTTCCCAGGTGTTACCTGGCACCGGGACTTCCACCGCTCACTTTCATACTCAGGCCTCCAGTAGCCTCCCTCCTTAAATGGTCCTGGGGCCGGACTCGGGTCCTCCTAGGAAGGTTTCCGTTAGGGTGGAACCTCAGAACAGAATATAAGTACTATAAATCTTCATATTGTTGAAACAATGATATGACTGCCATACATTGAATAGAATTTATTAGATGAGAAGGAAAATCCCAGACAAAACACAAACAAAATATTTTTTAAAAGAAGGCACATAAACAGAAACTATAACATGAAAGAAGATGACAGAACTATGGCCGATTTAAAGTAACTAAAAATGATAAGATAATTTTTAAAATCTCAAACTTTCAAATAAACAATGTAGATTATCAGTAGAACACTTCTTTAGTACATTGATTAGAATATGTAGCTATCAAAATGATACAAGAATTACATGTACTATATATGCAGAAGTTTGGATATATTGGTGGAAAGCATCTGAAAGCCGTTAATACTGTTTTTCTTCCCTGTGGACTGGAACTGAGGGTTGGGAAAAAAGAGACTTAATTCTTTATAGCCTCATGCCAACCACCAAATACTTTTTAGCTCCAAGTTTTCTTAGCTAGAGGAACAGGGGAGTACTAATGATTTTAGTGTCCTAGAAATATATATTATATACACATGTGTGTTTGTTTTGAGAATTTTAAATAGAAATATATTTAAAATTCTCTCATTTTATTTTTCTCTAATTAGAGAATTATTAGAGATAATTCTCTAATTATCTCTAATTTAAAATTTCTAAATATATTAGAAATATATTTAAAAGGCATTGTTCTGCATTTTGGCTTTTTTTCAGTGTTTCTCACATTTACTTTACCATTTTCTGTCCCTCGTCAAATGTTTCTCCTTGACTCGTCTGAGAGCGCCTTGCAAGCATCATACCCGTCACCGCTCAGCACTGTGGGTACCTCGCAAGGACGAGGGTGCCAAGTACAGTTGTCAAAGTCGGCAGTTTAACACCGATAACACTTTCGTCTACACTCCTTCGTACAATTTTTTTGTTGTTCAGTTTTTTTTTCTGTTACAATATCTTATCCAGGGTCGTAGGTTACTTTATCTCACTCTTTAGCTTCTCTTTGTGTTTCATAGTATTGATGTGTTTGAAGAATATAGGACAGTTAAGGCATGGAACATCCCTCACTGTGGGTTTTCCCGTGTTTCTTTGTGTCTAAGTTCAGGTTGTGCGGTGTGGGTTGAAATGCGATGAGAGATGTGTCCCGCAGTGTCCCATCCAGACTCACAGAGCATCCTTTGTACCTTCAGGGGAAGTCCACTTAGATCACTTGGCTAAGATGTTGCCAGTCACTGTAATTATTGTCTCTCCTTTGCAATTAGTGCTTAATTTGTGAAGAGGAATTTTTGAGGCCATATAGACATTCTTTTTCTCATTGAACCTGCCCCTCACAGAATAGCACCCTTTGATGATTATCTGAAAAAAGTTTTACTGTGATGTTTACAAAATTGTAATTTTATTAGTTGTCATTCTGCTTTAAGGAAGCAGTTTCCCTTTATCAGCATAGAATAAATGCTTTTTTAAAGAAGATTTTGTTTATTTATTTTTTTAGAGAGAGGGAAAGGGAGGGAGAAAGAGAGGGAGGAAAACATCAATGTGTGGTTGCCTTTCACATGTCCCCAAATGGGGACCTGGCCTGCAACCCAGGCAGGTGCCTTAGACTGGGAATCGAACCAGTGACCCTTTGGTTTGTAGGCCAGCACTCAGTCCACTGAGCCATACCACCAGGACAGTAAATGCTTTTTTTTGTAACCATTTGTGTGTTAGTTACAGATATGATGACTTTACCTCAAATACTTGTGTGCTTCTTAAGAACAAGGGTATTTTCTAGCCATAGCATTAACGGTTTTTGTAGTAAAAAATAAAAATAAGAACAGGTCAGGATCTAATTCGAGATAACACTATATTTAGCTGCCAAGTTCTAGTCTCCTAGAACAGTTCTTTGGTGTCTTTCAAAATGTCAAAGTCACGAAACCTGTAGGCCAGTTATTTTATAAAATGTCTCTTAATCTTAGTTTTATTAAATTTGCTCTGCTTAATGGTTGGGTTGAGCTTACGTGTCTTTGGCAGGAATGTCCTAGAAGTGGTGTGTCCCTTCTCAGTTTGTCGTCCTGGTGTCGGTTGTCCCGTTTCAAGGTGTGAACTTCAGTCACTCGTTTTAGGTGGCATCTGCTAGATTTCCCCACTATAATGTTTTTTTCTCTTTTTTTCTATTATATGAAGCATTTTGTGGGGAGGTACTTTGAGACTGAGAACATTCTATTTCTTAGCAAACCTTCACACCCCAATTTAGCATACAGTGATGTTCCTGGCTGAATTGGTTGTTACTCTGATGGCTGCCAAATGGTGGTTTTCCAATCATATCATTCCTCGCACACGTACTAGTGGGCGTTCTGTTGTAAGGAAGAGCTTTTTCTTTTTATCACTGATGGCGAGTATGAGCTCATGGATTTCTATTTTTGTCAGCCTGTTACTCATTTGTTTTGCTGTCAAATTATCCCAGATTTGCCAATGGGAGACCTTTCAAGCTGTCCCCTGGCTCTTTTTGGCACATTCTTACCATTTTTTGAGAAATTTCTTATTTTTCAGCACAAGTGTTCCAAGTCCATTTTACTGTTTTTTCTTTTCCCACCCAGTCCTGGAATCAGCCATTTCTACAAAGTTTCTTTTAGCGGAGAATTGTGTTTGGACTCTCAGATCTGGGCCTGCGGGGATGTCATTGCCTGGAGGCCTCTTGGACAGAAAGAGCAAGGAAACATATACATTAAAAATTACAAGGTTTATGGTGTCTCCAGTTCCAGCCCAGCCTGGAGGTTCTTCTGGCCTTTCCCATTCCATGTTTGTACCTTCCTCTGTGGGAAGAACCTCAGTTCTCAACGTCATCAGCATAATTACTCATTTTTCATATTGGTCATGTATTTCATAATTAAAAATAATTCTGTTTAAAAAAAAATGTAGGCAAGCCCACAGGAGACTAACACATGCGGATGTCATCCATCAGTCTGTTCTTACAGAAAAAACGTGGAAACTTATGTGCGTTCTGCTCCCTCCCAGATGAATCTGGCAAATGCACAAATGGTACTAAAGACTTTAGTCAATCTAACGTATACTGGGCCTCTACTTTGTGCCCACCCCTACTCAGACTGCTGTTACTGGTTCTAAAGCTTATAAGCAAGTAATTGATAGGTCACCCATCAAATTAATGTAAAATTATAAAGTTGCATGTGACAATAGTAACAAGGAAAATATATTGAAAGAATAGTGACTAAAGAGAGGTTGATTCAAAAGCAACAATTCTAGCAAAACCTGAAACCAGGAACAAGACTAAGGTGGCACTAGGAGAACAGAGATGAAGGGAGATTCGGAAAGACCTGGTAGAAGATTTGACGGGATTTATTGACCAAATGTGGGGGAAGGAGAAGGGGCGTCATAGTGGGTCTCATTTAGGTGTGGTAATGGGACGTTTCTCCACTAGGTGGCAATGGTGTTCTTTCTCGGTTTTTCCGTCTTGCTACTCAGACCCACTATGGCCCAGATTTGACATCTGGCTTTTCCCAAAACTAAAATCACCTTTGAAAGGGAAGAGGTTTCAGACCATTGATGAAATTCTGGAAAATATGACAGCGTGGCTGATGGCAATTGGGAGAACTGTAAGGTCCCAAAGGTGCCTATTTTGAAGGGGACTGAGGAGTCACTGTCCTGTATACAGTGTTTCTTGTATCTTCTTCAATAGATCTCTGATTTTCATATTACATAGCTGGATACCTTCTGGACAGATGTCGTATGTTGTTTTGCACTTTGTCTTCTTTTTTAATGCATCTAATACTTGCTTACCATTTTCTATTGCTTGTTCTATTTTCTTCCTTGACCCATTTGAGGGTATACTGCAGACATCATACCCTTTATCCTTTAATACTATATCTGTATTTTGTAAGAACAAGCATACTAAGTACAGCTGTCAAATTCAGGAACTTAGTGTTGATTACAATACCCTCATCTACAGTCCCTCTTCCAATTTCATTTGTTGTTCAATTTTTTTTTCTGTTACACTATCTAGTCCAGGATCCTATGTTACTTCATCATAACCTTTTAGTGTGGCACAGTTCCTTAGCCTCTCTTTGTCTTGTGTACTATGTTGTATTTAAAGAATATGGCACAGTTAAAGTGTAGAGCAAAGCGCCCACATACACACGAAGACGCTGGGGGCACTCTTGTGTCTTGGCCTTAGCCCTGGGAAGACTGGGGAAACAATGAAAAATCTCTCCAGAGGCTGCAGCACAAAGATCCACAGATTAAAAAAATACATGAGATAGAAACTGAGACATGAAAGGTAGAGGAAAAGGGTCTCACATACCCCCCAAAGTTCCAGAATATATATTTAAATTTGTCTCATAATCTTTTAAAAGTCAGAAACAGAGTAGACATTTTTAGGAATGCAAATGAGTTTATAGCCAACAGATCCTCGCTGGAGGACATTTCTGAAGAGCGTATCAGGTGGAAGGGGTGAACCCCAAAGGAAGATAGAACATGTAAGAATGGTGAGTTCCCCAAAGCGGTAAATGCCTATTCTGGTTTTTAGGACTTTAGTTCTTATTGACTGCACAAGTTTGATATTGTTTTATATAATCAGTGTTTGTCTACAGTTGCCAACGTACAGGGGTGGGCAAAAGTAGATTTACAGTTGGGAGTGTACAAATTTATCCTTGTATTATATAATAATTATTTTTCCATAAGAACAACAGTAAACCTACTTTTGCCCACCCTTGTATATAAAACTGAATCATACACATTCTTCTTAAGCACGCAGGGAACATTTACAGAAAAGCCATCCTGTGCTGAGCCATGACATATCTCAACAGTTTTTAGGAATGTGATATCTGAAAAGCGAATCTCTGTCCACTGCACAGTTAGGCTAGTAATCAACAGCAGAAAGATATATTTTTAAAACTACATTTGGATATTTAAAACACTCTTCTAAATAATAAAAAAATGTGAAATTAGAAGATACGATCAAATAATAATGAAACTATTTTAGCAAAACCTGTGGGATACAGCTAAAGTAGAATTTATTTAATATTTTCATTTTATTTTTTTAATATATTTTATTGATTATGCCATTACAGTTCTATTTCCCTCCTTCATTCCCCTTCACCCTGCACACCCCTCCCCCACCATTCCCCCCTTTAGTTTATGACTACGTCTCAAGTTCTTTAGATTCTATATTTCCCATACTATTCTTACCCTCCCCCCTATCTATTTTCTACCTACCATCTATGCTACTTATTTTCTGTACCTTCTCCCTCCTTCTCCTTCTCCCACTCCCCTGTTGCTAACCCTCCATGTGACCTTCATTTCTATGGTTCTGCTCCTGATCTAGCTGTCCTCTTAGTTTGCTTTTGTTTTAGGTGTGGTTGTTAATAACTGTGTGTTTGCTGTCCTTTCACTGTTCATCTTTTTTATCTTCTTTTTCTTAGGTAAGTCCCTTTAACATTTCATATAATAAGGGGTTGGTGATGATGAACTCCTTGAATTTGATCTTATCTGAGAAGCACTTTATCTGTCCTTCCATTCTAAATGAAAGCTTTGCTGGATAGATCAATCTTGGATGTAGAAGGAAGTAAATAGCTTTAAATGCTTATGCTGTGTAGGAAAAAGAAAAAAGTCTGACAGTTATTGAGCTAAGAATTGAACTTGTTAGAAAAGCAAGTCCAAAGATTGTAGGAAAAAGTAATTAATAAAAATAATATCATAAATGAATCACATAAAACAAAGATACATAGAAGAAATAGAGCTCAACAGAGCAAAAAGTCTGTGCTTTTAAAAACCAGTAAAATTTAAAAACCTCTAGCAACAGATAAAAAGTTAGGAATAATCCATTTTAGATATAAGTAACGGAATGTAATTAAGGATGCAGCAAAGATTTTTATAAAGAATATTTTGAACAATCTTATGGCAATATAGTTGGAAAATATTAGCTGAAATAGTCTCCTATAAAAATAATAGGGTTTAAGATTGACTCAAGAAGAAATGAAAAATCTGAAAGGACCTATAATCATTAAATAAATTTTATCAGGAGTTAAAGAAACAGCAGATTGAGATGGTTTTATAGGTGAGTTATACCACAATTGGTAACAACTGCTTCCAAACTTACACAAACTCTTTCAAACGATAGAAAAAATGAGAATATTCCTCAGCTCAGTTAATAAGACAGTCTAACGTCGTTGCCCAAACCAGGCAAGTATTGTGAAGGAAAGTTACAAGGCATTATCAATTGTGAGCAAAGATGGAAATATTAGAGAATGAAGCCAACAATGCATAATAGTTAATAACATTATTTTGTGACCAATGTGGATTAGTCCCAGGAATGCAAGATTGGCTAACATTAGAAAAAAAGCTATTAATTTAACACCCACATTAACAAGTGAGTGGGGGAAAATTATGACCATTTTTCGTAAAATCCAACAACCGATCATAGTAAAAATTGTTAGTAAACTCAAATAGAAATTTCTTAACCTAGTAAAGGGTAACAT